ATCTAGTGGCAAGTGGCATCCAATTGACAATTGATGCCATTAAGGATGTCCTCAAGAAGCCTCCACTCATTGATGACACCATCACTACCACCATCTTCTCTCTCTCTCTCACTCTCTCTCAAATATTTGTCCAAAGTGAATGGATTTGAAACTTAAATGCAATGATCACTAATAGTGCCACAACAAGTGTCTTGATGGTGAAAGACTTAAGTACTTGCGTTTTAAATGCACACGTCTAACATGATTTCAAAACTTAAAGTTATTTGTCTATATTCTTATCTCTCTCTCCCTCTCTTACTCTCTTGTGGATTCCATTTATTTTACCATATATAGTAAAATGAATTATTCTTAAATAAGTTATTTAATAGTTTATTGAATCATCAACATATATTGCAATTGTTTACATGACAATTTAAATATCATTGATAAACATTCAAATTAATATATATTGATAATGTTGTATATGATCATATAGCTAACAACAAACCTAAGGAGTCATATCCTTAAGATATCTTTCTATGTCGAAATATTACAGCACAATATTCTTCAAATATAAGTGTAGAATAACCTTTGTCAACACATGTGATAAAATCTCATGTATATTTTTAAAAATAAAATTATTCACAAGATTCAAATACAACACAAGTAATGTGAAGACAAATATTAGCATGAAGGATGTCTAAAAAATCAAAGATGCATAATGACAAACATGAAATTTGAACTAAAGAAGTAAGTTATACAAAAGACAAAAAAATGACATCTGAAATATTCAAATATCATACAAAAAAAAAGTATGGGTAATATTTGAAATCAAGATTATTGTAGTGATAATGTGGAAAACTAATCAAATGTTTAGAACAAAATCACATGATTAGCGACTAAAGTAAGATTCAATCTCAAGTCCTATATGATAACAAAGTTGAACTATTTGCACAAAGTAAATACGGAAGTAGAGAAGTCTTTATCACATAACTTACATGATGACATGTCAGAGTCTTACATGGAGAAAATAATAATAATAAAAAGAATCAACTTCAACTTTGTCTCAGAACTAAATCTCTAAAAAGAAGCTTCAAAAATCATCTATGAAAAACTAATAAGTTTCTAAGCAAATAAGACCTCAAAGTTAGTCTCATGTACCTTGGATAGTAACATGTCAATATAGTTCATGGACAAAACAACAAGCTTAATGAGAATATCCTAACTCAACTTTAAAGACAAAGATCTATGTTGATTAGTTTAGAATGTCTAACCACCTTATCAAGGACAACATATTTGCTGGCAAAAAGATATGAGTTGAAGTATGACCAAAGGTTAGAAGCACATATTTTAGTTTGTAACTCATTAGTAAAAGATGACTAAAAATAAGTCATCTCTTATAAGTATGACTTTGAAAGAGAAAATATTTTTCGATTGGTTAAGAATCCCCAAACAAGATATTGTGGACAAAAATCAGTAATGTAAAGTAGCTAAATGTCACCAAAATGTTCGCAAAACAACAAAAAAAATTCAAATTAATATGACCATATTTAGATGCTAAAATGATAGAGAGATATAGTGAAATATAAAAAGAACAAGTTAAAGATTGACTAAGGTTAATGTTGAATGAAAAACAATTATCTACTTAATTCACTCAAGCTCGAGAAAAAGATCCTACTCAATCTTCTACAACAAAGTATGCGTGCATATCAAAGAGAAAATTAATGATTTATGTTATTTAATTATTTACATCAATCTAAGAATCATTCAACTAAGTTAAAGGTTATCTCTCTATCAAGCCCTAAGATAACCTAAGTAGCGGGTGGAGAGATGGTAAAGCTAAGACACAAAGTGGTGAGAGTTAGAATTTACTAGTAGAAGGTTTTGTTCTTTGAAGAGAACTATATTAATTTAGGCACGTAATGTTGGCAATCAAGTCCTACTTATGAAGGCTGAGATATCTATAGAGATTGAATAATATTATTTGGGAGAGATGAGTCTATGAAGTTTGTTGCATTTTTGCAAGAAAATAGTGAAAATCTAGTAAAAAGATTCTTTAGGACTAAACATAGTCTAAGTAAGGGTAAACTAATACAAAAGTATGTCTATTATTTTACAAGTGAGTGAGAGAGACGCGATATGACCTAATCATTATATAAGAAATCATGTAAATTTAAGATTATAAAATTAGAAAATATTTATTTTTAGATTTTTTTTATAAAAAATTAATTAATTATAATTCAACAAAAGGTTTCAAAAATAGTAAAAAAATTTCCAATTGATCACAAGGATGTAGAGTAATATCTAGTAATAGTTGAGAATTTTTCTCAAAGAATTTATCATTTTTAAAAAATTAATAAAGATTAAATATATTTAAAAAATATAAAAAATAAAAATTTAGGTGCAGATGTCGATGTTGTTAGCACCCTAACAATGGACAGATATAGTTATACTTGATGATTCTTTTGTAAGTGATTATAAACAATTTAAATGATTAAATTAAGATATGCATAAGTCAAAATAATCACGATTTAATGAACAATAGTTTCAAAACTTGAAATCATATAAAATATTACTAATTTAAGTAAAACTAAGATTTAAATATGAAAGATAGAGTTTTAATTTTGTGGTGGTGATCATTAGAATTCTATGTTTAGGAAGATTATCATATGATGTCTAAGTTCTCAATGGCTCTCTTTAGATGTATATACAATGTGGGTGATCTCTAGATCTTTTTGTGAACTAAATTTAGAAATCAATGAAATAGGTACGATGAAATTTTTTACCAACTTAGTCAACTTTATTAATATTTTTACTTATTTTAATCATAGGAATAGACAGGTTTTGGACAAAATAGATTTGAGACATCAAATTTTTGTGAATTTAATCAACTTTATTAAATATATATTTTTAAACCATTAGTATGGATAATTTTTTATTTATATTAATACATGCATTCCATTAACACGAAAAATATTCCCCCATGGCAAATCAAGAAAAGGGGGCCAGAAATTGAAAAGGAGCAAGATCCGAAGCAGTAGCTGCTACAAGAATGAAACATTCCAAAGCATTGGCTTTAAATAGAATTTGCACCAATTGTGCCACAATCAAGCATTTTTATCCAATTGCTACATAAACACAATACAATGTGTCACTCTCAAAGGTACCCCTTGAGTTCATTTGCTCTTGGTTTAATATAGTATTGATAGCAATAGCCTGTTTCGAATTTGTCTGTCCCTGATTATAAGTTCTTGTTGACCACGACCTACAAGAACCATGCTATCCACTACTTTTAACCCTATTTGCATAGTTTAGTTTTTGCCAAGTGGTGGCAGAAACTTTTGAAGACCTAGAGAAGGTGAGGGCATAGATCAATTCATCTTTTAATGTATAAAGTCCCCCACTCTACAAGCACCTCTACCAAACTTCCCTGTTTGAAGATCCTTCACTACAAAACTTTTAAGAATTTAAAGCTTAATTGACGATCATCTGACAATTGAGAAACAGATAAGAGGCATTCATTAGAATGTTTTCCTTAACTTTAGATGGAAGTATAAAGAAAAAATGGGTTTGAGGTCAACTTGCTTCTAACAACAAAAACGATTGTATCAAAAGAAGAAACTGGCAAGTGAGGACTGAAATTTTAGATGAAAGTGATCTGCCAAAGAAGCTAGACTCTTTTGAATGGGATGATCAACAAGTATATGAAAAAAAGAAAAAAACAATGATACAATTCTTTTTAATTGCTCTGAATTACCCTTTGCTTAATCAACTTGTGTATGGGCATCTATTATCCAACATTTCAATTATAATGAATTCCACTATCTCGATAAACTGAAAAAATTCTATTGAAAAGTGAGTCAAATCATAGCAGCTTTTACTTGCAGTATGAACTAATTAGATTAATATGTTGTTCATAGGATGATTTCTGGTTTTTTGCACCAAAATAGAAACATATTCTCCAAAGTATGTAAAATTAGCATGATTGCTAGGGAAGATAAGTGGTGCTGAATTTGGGCTGATTGGCTATCATGTGGCCCTCTTAAGATGCACGGACCAGCCTTTAGTTGACACCTTCTCATTAGGACTCCATAAATCTAGGCTTTCAATTGGTTGTACTAAGATAAGAACACCAGACCTAATGGGCATTAGGTGATGAAATGAGTGACTAACCTAATTTTAAATCAAATTCGATTAACTATATCAGATAATTGGTTAAAGAAGCAAAACGTTCTTCAATATGAATTTATTTATTATTTTTAAATGTAAATATTATCTTCAGCTAAAAATTACATCAACATTATATTTTCACCAATAAGAAAATTATTAAAATAATAAAATAATTGAGTGAAAATATCTAATGACTACGTATATGAAGCCTAAATTAAGAAAGTTAACGACTGAAAATATTTTGGAAAGCAAATAAAAAAAATAAAAAATGTAGGTATATATATGACCTTATTTTAAATGAATACACACACAATGAAGCTTGTGAGTAGTAAATCAAGTCACAACTATCCCGAGGTGTCTGATGCATAATTTTCAATTGTCTGATGGATAATTATATGCAGAAAAAAAGAAGAAAACTGTCCCCATATGACACATGGGGTTATCAGTCCCAAATTGGGGCCCAGGCAAAATAGATGATCTATGAAGGAAGAGTTGAGTCTACATGCCATTGAAAAAAATTTTAGTAAAGAAAAAATTGTTTTGGGCTTATAGTTTGAAGGAAGGGATTCACTTTACCTGTAGTTATTGGAAAGTTAGTGGGTCTTCTATGACCCACTAATTGACTTTTATCCCTGAATATTTATTGCCTTACATAGAAAAAGAAAAGTTGATGGTAACAAGCCAGAAACTCAGTCACATTCTCTTCAGATTTAAGTCAATTTACAACCATTTCCTGAGTACTCAGATGATGAATTCCATCGCTACAAAGACTCACTCCGATTACTGCTACAAAGAAAGACTCTGATTATCACACAAGTTGAGATGGATGAGATCTGAAACGACCAACCAGCTTACTTTGCAGATAGGAGGGGGTGATCGGTGGAGAGGTGGCTGTAGACGACCACGTCTCTGGTCGTCCCCTTGAGCGAGAAGTACTTCCTCAGCACACCCTCGCGGAGGAAGCCGACCTTCTCCAGGACCCTCTGTGAGGCCCTGTTCTCGACGTCCACCAGGGCCTCCAGCCTCTCCAGCTCCGGTACCTCGCGGAACACCGCCGCCGCCGCTGCCCTTACGGCCTCCGCCGCGATGCCGCGCCCCCAGTGCGCCGCCGCCAGCACGTACCCGATCTCGCCCCGACACCGGTCCCCGCTGCCGGGGGCGTTGAGCGCGACGGAGACGGCGCCGACGGGACGGCCGTCGAGGCAGATGGCCCTGAACCAGGGGTGGGGGAGCACCGTCTCTCTCATGTACTTGAGCAGCTCCTCCTTGCTGGTGTAGGCGCTCCAACTGCAGAAGCGGGCCACCCGCTCGTCGGAGGCCCACACCATGTAGTCATCCACGTCCGCAAGCTCGAACGACCGCAGGGAGATAGCCGGCGTCTCCCCCGCCGCCGCCGCCGTATTCGTCTCCTTCTTCTCCGCCGGCGGTGTGGGTGTGGGCGGCGAGACGCCCGATTCTTCTTCCATCGTGTGGGATAAGATTCTGGAGAAAAGCCAGATCCGCTTATGATCTGTTGTGGAAGCATCCAGGAAAGTGAGACATGTCAGAACACCTTCGACGACCTTAATTTCTGATTAAATAAAATATTATATATTCGTTTTAATTCTTCAATCGATCATATTTTGCTTTAGTTGTACCTTACAACTGTCAAATATTCAGATACCAAAAGTCAAAGCACCATTCTGGTCGCCGGAGGACGCGCGGCCGGCGGCCATAGAGGAGAGAGAAAGGGAAACGTGAATTGAAATATATTTTTAATGAAAAAATCGAAACAGACTTATCCTGAACCAGACCAAGTGGGTCGGATCCGATTAATCGGGTTTCACCTATGCCAAGCCAAATCCGTTACACCTGCCAATGAAGAAGGATATAAATACCAAATAAATATTATATAAACACAATTAACATGAAAATGGTATAATTGTAATCTTAGTATTTGTGATATGAGACTAAAATATAACCCTAATATGAAATCCTTTGGGAGAACTAACAAAAGATACACTTACTTTGAACTTAATTCTACTAAATTGCTGCTCACATCTAAATGAAGCATTGTGGTATGACAAAACACTAGCTCTATAAGTAAGATGCCATTTTTAATGAACATTCATGCAGAAATAATGCATAGATTATTAGCTCTATTTTAGTAGTATCTTTAGTTTGTGAATTATTGCTTGTTTGAATCTTAGTTTTGCTGAAGATAGGAATTAAAAGTTTAATTAGCCTACATTAAATCATCTCTTGATGATTTCTAGATCACATTATAAATATTATCATTGATAATGTTTACAAAGTTTGATTCAATATGGTTCACTAACTAGTGGAAGATTCGTTACTTAATAGCTCTAACAAATTGTGCATGGGCATGTGATCGTCCATACCCAATGACATATCCTCTATTCTTGAAAGCTTAAAGGATATTGCCTAAACATTTAGAGAATATATTTTATAAGATATTCTCATTTTAGCCTCTAACAAAATTGTTGAAATGAGACATCAAGAAGGCAGAAAATAGTGAAAGTCTTGTTCAAATATTTACATATAATTCAGGGCATTCTTATCCATTGGACGTTTCTTCTGCTTGCCTATTCACTTTGCCTCCTTGTTAATATTTTTCAGCCTTTAGCGAAAGATTTTCATTGGAATACCAGAAGATGTAAAGTCATCCATGAAGACAAGAAGTTGGAAGCTAGATTTTGATTGAGAAAGCAAACTTCTCGAACCATCAACCAATGTAAAGTCTTCAATAATCAACAAGCTTTGAGATTTAGAGAGGATTAATAATTCAAGTTTAATCAATTGGCAGCTTCTTTGAATTTTGACAACATATTATTGAGAGATCTTTTTGGAAAACACCAAATTGAAATATTTTATTATTTGATTTCAGTGGGTGTTGAGCTCTAGATGATGGTTATTCTTGATAAAGTAGATGATGGTTAATTATAAAAATCCTAATGTTATTTATCCAAATTAAAAACAAGGTTAAGAGAAGAGTGTAAAGAATCGTGACTATAAAAATTATATAGACGAAATCAACCCCTTTCTTGATTTTAGTGATCCTAGACCTAAGAGTCAACACACATTGTGTTCTCCACCAGTTTTTCCTATTTTATTTTTTGTCTTGATCTGGTTTGTTACATGGACCATTCTTGTCTTCCCTTAGCTGCAACTAATCCCTAAAACACTTGCTTCTAGAACCAGACTAGACCTAAATTTCATGTCTCATTTATTAACTTAATATAATTTTATGCAATTTTTATTTGTCATTATAATTTCAATTAGATTGTAGAAGAAGAGTATTACATGAATAGAATGATTCATTTCATACACACAGCTCACCTCTGACCATAAGGAATGAAAACTAAAAGAGAGGAAGAAAAAATAGGTAAGAGATAGAGGAACATGAAGAAAAGAATGTAAAAAGAAGAAAGAAGTTGATCCTCCACATCACAACGACTGTGATCAAGCATGCGTCAGGCTATGATGTATCGTCTAGTTTATTCCAATGCTGGTTGATTGAACACTATTGGTATATAGATGATTATCATTGGTCAACCTCTTTCCTCCTTAAATTTGGGAAATAAGTTTTTCTTAGAACTTAAAACATAATTAGAGTGAAATAAGGAACTTCTTTAGCTGGCTATCTAGAGCTATGAAATCTATAAGAAAGAGGTAGGAGATATTCTATGGCTTTGGCCACCTAGAGCCTTTTAAATTTAGAAGAGTATTTGAGAAACTCTTGAGTTGGATGGAGATAAAAAATTTAGTAGGTTGATAAACTTGGAACTCAATGGGCAACACAAAGGAATTAATTTAACCCAAGAAAGAGTCTTGGAGAGTGTATATGTAGTTCAAGAAGATAGAACTATTATAAAATTCTCATCTGATTTTGTTGACGATTGCCATATGAAATAATATTATTTAGAGGTTCAAAATCATTAAACTCAAATGCTTGGAATCTTACAAAATATCTAGAAAATATATAGAAGTTAATTTGGCTATTTTAGTGTATGTAATTCAGAAAAATGATCAAATAGGATTCTTTTTAGAGTAAATTTAATCAATAAAATGATATTTTTTTTGTCTTTAACACATTAGAGAAATTTATAAAAAATTTGAACTTTATTTACTCCTCTTATCACATTGAAAAATTAAAACATTCAATTCATCAAAATGTAGATCATCTATAAGTAAGGTGGGAACTCATGTGTGGATGATGAATTCACAAGAGAATGTTAACCAAGGATTGTAATTTGTTAGAACCTATGATTAAAATAATAAATTCAATTGTAAGTATTTTCTTTATTAGAAATTTAGAACATGATCATTTACACAACTATGAAGATATTAATGCTAGCTCAAAAATGTAACTATGACTTTGGATGATTTACACTTGCCATATTATCTTCAGTTTTTTGTCATCCCTAACTCAAAAAATCATTATTTCCTGGTCTTAAACTCATTCAAAAGATCGACCACTTTGGGTAAGAGTAAACTTAGGACTTTTGTAGTCAAGAAAGTCAACTTATTGAGTGGCTACAACACATCGTGTAAGCTCAGCTCCCTAAACAATCTCTTGACTTGAACATATTTTTCATTTTTGGATGCCATCACCGTCCTCTTCGGTCACCATCATCTGTTATATTCTACATGTATTTTGAAAAATTGGGGAGAGCAGGAGCCCTTGTTCATCCAGAAGCCTCTGTTGAAGAAATAATTAGGTCAAATAAATCGCATAATGGGTTTCACTTCTCTGAGAGAAATTCCGAACGCGACAGATTTTATAGAAAATCAACGGTAGAGATCACGTGGTCTTCGTCAGAATGCCAGCTTTAAGCAAATTGATAGTCTCCTGCCACCTTTCACATTTCAATATATGCTGAGTACGAGGGAGTGCTTCCCTCAGCGTGCCGCACAGCTCTCCCGACCAGAAACAGGAGATCCATCTGAGTCCCCGGGGCCTGCAGGGATACGATCACCGGGTTCCCTCTTTGCAAGCGGTAAGCCCTTTTCAGGACGTATTTGCTGCCATTGTTTTTCTTCCTCTCTCTCTCTTTCTCTCTGGGTCTCTCGTCGAGATCTTCATTGCTGCTATCAGTTTTTTTTGCTCTTATTTTTTTCATTGGATGAATCGGGGACGTGTAAATCTCAAACACCCCTTCCGGTTCTCGCCCGGAACTATAATATGATGCTCCTCGTTTGCCTCTTCGGCTAATTTGGCGTAGGGCAAGTCGAAGTCGATCCAATTGCTGCGGTTTGTGCTGCCCGCTGCGGTAGAGCATGGTGGATAGAAAACGATGGTGTGGGAAGTTTTGGTCTCGAGAAACGTTCTGCTGATCCTGATTTACCTAGGGAATTGCGACAGGATGAGGAACGTGTTTCTAATTTTAGAGATAAAAACTGCATCCAGAGAGTAAACCTGATCTGACCGTGGGTCCCCCTGGGGTCGTTTTTTTCTTTGTTCTAAATTTTTGGAGTTGGGTGGGACTATGCGGAGGCCTTCGTTTTTCTATTTTTCATTATTCGCATCCAAAAGGGAAATCTTATAAATATCTTAACAGGTTATTGATTCATTTTTTACGGTTGACATATAACTCAATCGAACCTTACTGCCTCGGTGACACATTTGTTTGCATACTTTCCAAGAAATTCTTGGACATGACAAATATACAAGGAGACCGAAAGCAGAGTGTTAAATTTACGGAATCATATTTCATCTTTCTTATTCCATACTTTGCCTAAATTGTCCTTGGTTTGCCACCAAATCTATTAATGATAATTAAATTCCTCTAACATTTGTAAACGCCTATCATGAAATACACATCATCTTTACCTCACAGAATCATCATCGTCATCATCTTCTTCTATTCATTTTACCACACCTATGATTATTCCCTCATTTCTTCTTAATGGTGATCTCTCTGTCGTGTTTCAAGTTTTTTCGATCAGATTGTTATTCCTGCTATGCTTATTGCCACCAGTCTTCATTGCTTAAACTGGGTTTTTGCAATTGGAATTTTTACCATCAATGCGTCAAACTCCTGATTGATTCAGTATGAATAGAATTCTCCAGCACTTCATGGCCTTTTATATTTGTCTCATTTCTATATCTGTGGGCAGTAGAACCCTTAAAAGAGCCAGGTGGAAGGGCCCTGAGTTTTAATGCATTGATTTGGCCTCAAGAACCATATAATAATAGCCTTAGGATTTCAAATAACAGGTATCAGTGCATCAATTGGCGCTATGTTCTAACAGACCAGGTTTTTGCAATGGACACGAAATGGATCCATCCAGCGTTAACACATAATAGGTGGGAGTTCACTGGGGTAAAGATTGCCAAACAATGTTTCTACTCTTGAGCATTTCGAAATGGAAAGTCAATGATGTTAAGGGAGCGTTGCTGCATCTTAGACATATCTCAGAACTAGATGGCAACATTACCAGAAAATTATGAGAAGAAACTTATTTAGTCTCCCGATTTCCCTTGAATTTTGTATGACATTACCCTTCGAATCTATTAGAGAAATTTTCAGCTAATGGCCAGTGGATAGTAGTATCAGGTTCTGGTATTATTGGTGCCTTTGTTTATGTTTAGTCCAGTCATATCTTCTGTTATTGGGCGGATTGCTGAGAATCAGTCCCCATGGAACTGATATTGTTTTATTTAGGCAATAAATTATCATGTACTAGCCATTAAGCTGGTTAGTTGATAGGATAATATAAATCTCTGAGAAGCTCCTTGTTGTGAGAGAGTGAATCAGCATAGCACTATTGAAAGGGGGCTTTCTTTTCCTTGGGTACTTATGTTTGTTTCTCCGAAAGCTTCAGTTCGTAATCATCGTCCTCCAGCACCTTTGTTTTTCTATCTTTGTCATCTAGATACTTTGAGTTATCACCTTGTTTCTTGTTCCACATCTTTAGTGGGCATTAATGAGTTTCAACTAGAAATAGGCCAATGGATCTTCTTTTATACCACCACGATCAGTTAATATTTAAAGAGTCTTCCTGTGACCAAATCTTCTTCAGGAAAATATTTGATAAAAGTTTCAGAAGTCTACATCACTTTATTAGCAATGTGTTAGAGCCCCTATCTGTATTACATATTCCAGGAAGGGTAATAGGGAAAAATCCCACATGTCAGGGTTTAATCTGTAAATTCCCGAAGAGAGGTCCTCCAGGGAGAAGTGGGGGTTATATATAAAGAAGAGTGAGGAGGGAAAAGGAGGGAGTTTATTTATTGGGAGCTTGGGAGAGAGGTAACACCCTCAGGTGGTATCACACTTGTTCTTGGATCCCATCCGATATCCGATCTCTTGATTTTCTTGATTCTTTTGCTTACTGAAATTCCACCAGATTTACTTCTTGTTCCTCTCTTAGTGTTGGATTCCTATCACAATGCTATCATGTTTCTATTACTCGGATTGACGACTTATCTGTGAAACCAAGTGATGGAATCTTATTTCTTGGGTGCTGTCTACATTCAAATGTCATAGCAACTTATCATGTTGTGTCTTGCATGATCACACTCTCGCTTGTCAATCTTTCCTTCCAGTCACCGTTCTCCTGTCTTTTATTGTGTTTAGTTGTGCAAATTGTGCTTAGGTCTTGTAGTGATGTGTGTTGCAGCAGAGATTTACATGCTGCCCAGTAGTTCTTTTTACTTAAGCTGCTAGCCTTCTTTCAAAAGGTAGATAAAACTGCAGTCGTCAGTGAGCTGGCTAGTACATATCTACTCGCAGCCCCTTTTAGTATGTAAGTTGACTTTGTTTCCATGTATATATTACTGGTCCCAAAGCCTCCTCCCTTTAGGCAAAATTTCATGTTTTCTTTATCTATTATCAAATGCTCTTTCTCTTTGGTTCTTTTAGATCTGTTCAGTCATTGCGACCACTTTTCTGAAACCCTCACTGTAGGACCTTCATTTGCTGCCGGAATTCATGTAAGGACAACTGTTGCCACTTCTTCTGTTCCCTTGTTCTCTGGTAGAGGACCTTGTCGAAATCATTAAGGCATTTATTAGCTATTTCGCTGTAAAGCCTATTCACTCATCATGATTGACAGAAGTCTTCTATTGAATGTCCCTCTTTACTTAGCCCGACATCTTTTTTCCTTTAGTGTTCAGTTTTTTTTCAAAAACAGACCATATTCCACTCCCCACTTCCCACTATTCTCTTTTTGTATGTTATTGGTTACCCTTAAATTACTTTTCCATATAACAGCAATAAATGCTTGATCTTTCTCAGTAGCTTGAGGAATAGAATGTCATGGGAGTTTATGTTGGAAGTTAATGAATGATTTTATATTGATCTTGTTTATCTGATGGCGGACTGTTCAGCTTCCATGCTGATACTCTGATCTAAACTAAACTTGTTACGAATCCGGAGATTATGTTCTTTTTTGGGTTTAATTTGTAGAAAATTATGTTTCACGAGCTTTTTGCCAATGGTTGTGACTATAATGAGAAATTTACTGATCTTATTTCTATTGTCTTATTCCGTCTTTTTTCTTCAAGGTAGCTGAATAGAATTACTTCAACAAATTCATCAGTGGAGAAGTCTTCAACAGTTTTACTTCCCCTTAAGTTTTTTGATTTTTCATCAAATAATTTTTATAGCATAGGCGTATAATTTACTATTGATTTCTGAGGAATATTCTTTTTTCCATGTCCATATAATTCTGTTCGCATGTGGAATGAAAGGTGATTTGTAGTTGACATAACTCGAATTTCAGGGCTGAAGTCAATGCAATGTATTGCCAACAATCGCTATTTGGATATTTCTTTTATGTGATTTCGTTTGTGTTGTGGAATGTAAAAATTATCTGACTCCATTGCACTCTTTAATTTTGAACTTTTTTGTTTGTCTTTGGATAGATTCCTTCTTTCACTTGAACCTGATGGGAAAAATCAAACCTCAGGCATTGTTACAGCAAAGCAAGAAGAAGAAGGGCCCGGCTCGAATTAGTCTCTCTAGCATTATTGCTTGCAATTTTGTGGTCATTGTCATTGGATTATCTTTATATGCTGCTTACAAACATTGGTACAGAAGGTTAGTGTCTTTTGTTGCCATATCTTTTGTTTTGTGTTGGCAGATAATAACTTATGGTCATTTCCATGGGATGAATTGGGAGATAAGCCTCGTGTGGTGTCCGGCCTAAAACTGACTTTTAAATCTAATATTTCTTGTGGACTTGATTTGCCGTTTTTGTTATTGTTTTCCTGTTTTGACAAAGTTTGTATTTATTTTATCAATCTGCAGGACACAATTTGAGACTGAAATAAATGGATATGAGGTGCGTTAAATGTTGCTTTGTATTGTGTACTCAATCTAAATTTTTTTTTTTGCATTTTTTTCCCCAAGGTTTATACTTCTGGTGTCTTACAATTTCAGCTTTGTTCACAAATATACCGATTTGATTAACTTTCGTTGTTTTTTTTTGGAAAAGAATTTTGAAACAACCAGAGGATCAAGGAGATCAATGAAATTTGAACTTCCAACATATGCTGTAAGTTCTTGAAAGTTATCACTCACTCTTTTGTTAATTCGCCGGTGATATTGATGAATATTGTGACATATTTTCACAGATATATTCCTATTGTACCTTTTTTCCTTGATATTTATTCTTGCTATTACCTGGGGTTGTCAGAGTTTTTTTAAAGATTTTTTTTTCCTGTTACTATTTTTTTGCTTTCGTTTTTTGTATGTCTTTTCTGGGGATGCTTATTTAGGACTTGTAAGGATAGTGGGGAGGAACTTGATAGAGCACCGATCCGACAGGACAGAAACAACAAAGATCGAACAAAAACAAGTAAGAAACAGAGACCAGAAAGAAGAATAGGCTTCTGTTCGGAACCCTAGATGTCTTGATAACCGTTCCACAGGGTTGCCTCTCTCCCCTTGAGACCAAAAGAGTCGATGCCCCCATCTGTTCCTCCGTTTCGCCCTTTTGTGCCGTCTCCCTTGGACATTTTATCAATAAACCGCTTACACTTGTGACCTTGACCTGTTCCCCTTCCCCTAAGTAAATTGCGTTGGTGGCCTATCAGAACTCTCCCATCACTATATAATGTAAAATTTGCAGTCAGTTAAGCTGAGAAAAATAATAAGTGTTGAATTTTTTTGCTCGCGCTATTGCTTAAAATTTTTATTTATTAAGATTAGTTTCACTATTATATGGTTACTTTCACAATCGTCTATCTAGTCCCAGACCTGTTACGAGAAACCAAATCAGTCTTGTTAAAGCTCCATCAGGTCCCATTCCAGTCCTGAAACTGGCGAGTTTCACAGAGCATAGTTTCCAGCAATTCATATGGCAGACAGTTTCAAGATCGAAACTTGCTGTTTTCAGTGTCTGCTACTTGTAGGACTTCGTAGCACTCATAGTTATTTTTGACAGTCAAACCGATCACTATTCCGAATCATGATACTGAAAATTTTCTTATTTATGGATGAATGCTGGTGGGTGCTAAATGAATGTTGTCACATAATTTCTTGATCCTCAAATTTCGTAGGAATCAGTGGCAGTATTTAAATGTAGACGCTGTTTATTTTATTATGTAGCCGTAATTCCTGTTTTGCTTTTTTTCTTGGCAGATTTTAAGCACACCTAAGGGTTCAATTACTTTAGAGCTTTACAAGAACGCTGAACCTGGTGTTGTGGATAGGTTCCTCAGTCTATGGTAAGCAACTGGAAACTGGCATGCTAAGTTTTTTGTTGAAACTGAAAGGGGGCAATGGGATCTGTAAATGTGACTTTATGATCTGGTGTCTGACGACGTTTATTGAAATCAAAATGATCTCTAAAGTTGGGTCTCAGCAAGACAATATTTGTCTCCAATTTCAACCAACAGTCTTAGAAACATAGTTTGAGAATCTGATGTTTGAGGTGTTAACCCTTTTACGAATGATTATCACGACTACGTTATCAGACCTTTTTTTTTTTCCCTTTGTTCGAAAGTAACAAAACTTAGATTATACGTCCCTATTAGCAGGATATTTACGGTTGGAAGAAACTATGATCAGTCAGAAGAAAGTTTCCTTTTCCTCTCTATTTCCTGTTTCCTCTACGTGTTGTTTTCAAACCCTCTTCCTTGTTGTCTCTGCAAAAATTGGCCTGGATAGTATTTGGTGTCCTTGGGATTTATTTCATTTGGCTTTTAGCTTTAGCTGTGTTGAAGAGATTGATTTTGATTAAGAAGAAGAAAAAGAAGAAAGCCTAGTTAGATTGGCAAGGTAGACAATATTTCCTCACAACTTGCCCCCCAAATGATGTCAAATCTATTATACTATTTGACGGGGGGCCAAATACATAGGTGATCACAAGAGAGTGGGACTAGATCAAGTTAAAACACAAGGTGAAAGACAAACAGTTACATCCAACAAACTGTAAATGACATTTGCTTTGGTACTTTTTCAGTACATTAGTGTGGATTCAGATTTAACTTCAGTTGGATCTTTTCATTTGTTGAATTGATATCATTTGTGGCTGACATCCGTGATTCTTGAGCGTTTCTTCCTCTCATTGTCTACTTTTTTCAATGGTAAATCAGCCAGGATGGTCACTTCAGAGGCGTACACTTTTATCATGTTATAAACAGTTACGTCCTTCAAGTGGGTAAAAATCAAAATTCTGGATCTGCGAAGGATTGGATACTGAAGACAAAATCTGACATTCAGCTTGGCTTGAGGTACATGAATCTGTAATTTTGGCTGCTAGTTTTGTTTTCTTGATTTATATTTTAAGAAAAGATTCAATATATCATATTCGATTTGGCTAATTTTTCTTTTTGTCAGTTGAATGTTTCTAAATTCTGGTTTGATTATTTGACTAATCCAGTTCGAAACATGAGGCTCTTATGCTAGCGACCACAAAGCCTAATCAGGACGGCCAAGATTTTGAGCTTTATATCACAGTAAAGCCCATTCCTGATTCAAGTGACAAGTTTATTGTATTTGGGAGGGTTCGCAGAGGAGAAGATGTCATTCAGGCAGTCAAGGTATTCTGTTTTTCCATATTTTTCTACCTGCAAATATCTTTTCTTAGTATTTTTGCTCCGTAGTCTCCACTGCCTCGTTTCCAGAATGAGGGTCATGTTGTTGAATCTATACCTGCCATTCCCACATGAGAATGTCCAATCGACCTAGAACATTTTCACAGTGAAAAATGATGATTGGTTGCTTATGTGAATAGCATCCCCCCTCATTGGACGTTTTGAATTGTTCAGGCAGCAGTGGAAGAGGAAGATGAGACAAACGTCAGCATCCAAAGCTGCCGGGTGGGATCAACAGCATTTCTTTGAAGCGAGAAGGATTCAGTGGTATTATTATTTTTTTTAATTTGAAGCAAGAACGTGAACAGGTGAATCTTTCTTTTCTTGGTTGGATTTCCGGGTGTAACTTTATTTATATGAGAAAAGACTTTTGATGGGTACTCAAGACTCATATGGCGCATTCTCATTCTCGTTATATGGTGTGTGGTGATGCACTTGGAAAGAGGTAGCTGTTCACATGAACAGCCCATGGTGTTCTTTTTTTTAAAAAAAAGAAAAAAAAGCAAAAAAAAGGAAATAATACGAATATGGGAGCTGACTGGGTGAGAAAACCTGATCTCATCACTTGAGTTTAACGTGTTTTGTGGAAGTGAGACAAACTGGAACGATCATGGCACCACGTTCCGACAACACCCACACTCAACTTTCTTCTAATAAACAGACTACATCTATTGTATTATATTGGGTGAGAGAGAGATGCTCAGTGACTATAGTCCCTCTGAATCTTTCATTGCGTGCTTGCCGGGGAGCAAAGAGAAGACCGCCGTCCGTCCATGTGATAGGACGGGGGGAAGGGGGGGGGGGGTTGAATAAATGAGGGGGATGTATAGTCATTGGAGCGACGATCTTGGTTTCTTGCCCACTTCCCAGGCTCCATCGTCAAGCATCACCAGGTCATCCTCGCCGTCGTCCACAACCTCAGCAGGCATTTCCTTGCAGCTAACCCCGTCGTTTTCGTTTTCTCGTTGGACTGACGAGTCGGCTGATATTTCGGATAATTTTCTCTTGTTCCCAACGACGACGGCAGATCTCTCTGGGGCCGTCGCGACTTCGTCCGGTTCCCGAACATCAGCAGCAGCTTCTCCTCCATTGGTAGCGCCCACGCCGTCCTCCGCGGGCGGCGCCGGCGTCCATCCAGTGAGAACCATCTGGTCGTGCTCCTTCTCCTCGTCAAACACATCCCTGCTTTTACAAAATTACACGAGACAGAAGCAGGTCATCCTCAGCACGAAATTGATAAGTAGACAGAGGCAGACCGTGGGCTGAGGAACAAGGAACATAGACCATGTGACATGATAAAAAAAAATGTGAATGAAGCATTCTTTCATTCTTTTTAGCCCCTCTAGAGTACAGTTTCTCTCTCAATCTCTCTCCCTCTCTATCTATCTATCTATTTATTGATATATATCAAACCCACAAGTATAGGAGGGGCAAAAGAGAGAAGGCCCATTATGCTTACTGCTTTAATGCTGATATAAAATAAAAGAAATGTTTTGAGTTATAATCAAACTGAAATAACGAATAAGAAGAGTAAGAATAATAATAATAAGAGCACCACTGCCAATAACAAATACAGTCTAATTCAGAACAAACCATAATGGTCTCGGAGAACGAGAAAAAGAGTTGAAAGAGACCATGATACCGAGGAAGGATGGAAAAGAATGAAACACTTGGTGTCGTTGCAGTAGATAATGAATGAAGCTTCTAACCATTATAAGGACGAAACCTCAGATAAACTAGGCAAGACGACGACGAATGCACCAGAAAACATGAAGAAATATCACCTGGTTCATATGTTGAGCTAATATCTTGAAAAGCAAGAAGATTTTCACAATGTAGTAAGTCAAAAAATTGTCGGCAGTCTCCCTAATCCCCAAGAGAAAAAGGAGGTCTCCATGATAGTCTACAGAAAAAATTACAATCACCCTAATTTTCACAACTTGCTGAATTGGCTTCTTCATGAACAGAAATTATATGAGAATCTCAAGGTTACTGTGCTGGTGAACATAGTTAAAAACACAGCCAAAGGCGGTTGTCCTACATAGGATAGCATATGAAGCCACGTCACAATGCTAAATTTACGTTATGCAACACTGGACTAAAGGGCTAAAGATATAATTGGTTGTGTACACATGACTCTATCAGTGATTTGCTTTCAAAACAGTACAGCCAAGATCGTCAAAAAGATTGGTCTGAAACCATGGAGTACATCTAGAGATGCTATTGAGGGAAACGGGATTGGAAAGGAAGAAAACTACTTAGGATTCACACATTCCATCTGCCGCCATCATTGTCAGTGATGATGAAGCATCACAACCATCTTCATAATTTCTTCAGATATTTCGAATGTCAACAGTCCACAATGTGTTGTTCATTCAATTATTCAAGAGGCTAAGATCAGATTCTACCCTTTCCAAGTACTTGGACGAATGGAAGAATAATGAAGCGAAAATATGGTCATTTCCCTATCAAGTATCTGGGCGATCCCTTTCAGGTGCGTCATCGTAGCTTGGAACAACACAAATAATTAATTTGATAGCAGAATCGCAGAATAAAGCAGTAAAGCATGCCTTTTCTGGTTCAGCTCATCATTGTATCAGGCTTTGAGATGCCAGAAACCATTAGAAGCACTCTTTCTAAAAAGGACGGGAGGTGCCTTCCAAGTGGGAAGTCAGTGGGCTAAGATTATAAAACTGAATGGTTAAAAAAAAGTAGCGAGTGACCCCTTCTAAGTTCACCATCCTTACGACCATCTGAAGTAATGGTGAGGAGGTCGATTTCGTCCTAGCTTCACTAACGTATTCAAATGAACAGCAATAGAATCTTTAGAGCGTAGAAGGCCCCTTATCTAATTTAGAAAGATCTTTGATTCAAACAATTACCCCCAACTTCATCTATCAACAGATAAATTGAAATCAACAAGCCAAACTCATAGCACAGTAAAATAAAGGAAAATCGTTGGCCAACATCTTTAAGATGATGCATGTCAACATTCCCAAATGAAAAAAAAAGAGAAGAGGTTAGATTGAGCTGAGGGCAACCCTTTCAAGGAACTCCATCAGGTAACAAAGAGTGAGAAGGACGATTCTATGAGGAAAGTAACTAAGAAGCAGATTTACTCAAGGCATACTCTTCTTCACTCTCATTCACCATAAAAGGGAAAATATCTAAGTTAGAATCCGCTATTAGATTTGTCTTTTCCTCCCAATGCACTAAGAAGGATTATTGATTGATTTCTGCGGCAAAACACCTTTATAAATAAGGCCTTGCATATGCCGAAAGGGAAGGATATTCGTATGCTTGAGGATTGACAGGCTTACTAAGTCAAGAATCTACATATCATCCGCAGACTCTATGTGAGTTCTGAGTTTATGATAAAAACATCAAGATAAGTATATCTGGACGGTAAAAAAGCCAGCCACAGATTCCTTTTTTTAAAAAACAAAACATTTCTGGATCCCTTCAGAATTAAAATCTTTTAACCAACAAGTTAAAAGAAATTATCACCCAGGAAAAAGGAAGAGACAGATGAAAATCGTTTAAATTAAAGAGCCTAGCAGAGACAAGACGTTTGCGTTCTCCACATTGCACATGTTTGAGCTTTCCTCAATTCCAGTGATTAAATTCAGCATCAGTCCCTATACTTTCAAAAACTCGTCCTCAAATACTTTCTTAGTAATGCATTAAAGAGATGATAATTAAAGAATTAATAATTAGTATCTCTTCTTGTGCACATAGTTTACGATCACCATTGATGGCCAACATGAAAAAATTGCACTTGAGTTCCAACATACTCATCACTGCCAGTAACTGTTGCAAAAAATAATAGATATCTGAAAAACTTTAATTAGCACTGTACTGAATAAAAAGACAGTTGGTTCTCAATAAGAATGCTTTTATCAAAAGTATTGTCCCCATCACCAATGAACACATCTTCACATGGGTGAGTCTTACATTCCAAACCTCACACTGGTCTACTTGATGTAGTAGAAAATAGGGAGTTTTGGATTTGGAACCTTGCTCAAATATCACTTGACATATTGCAAGGTGAAGAAAATGGAACCTTGAATCCATAAGGAATGACAATTTAAACCCCTGAATATACAAGGAACAAGAAGGGTGATCCATGAATCTACAAGGGGCTTCCTAATAAAAATGTGAAAAAATGACAAAAATATTGACTAGAATGAAAAAACCATCTTCCTATACATTTAGTACTTTATGAGCTATAATTAATTTTTTAATCCCTCAGAGCTTTCACGGAAAAAACAAACGAAATTCCCTCAAATAAAAGATTATGCGAAGATAAGATGCTGAAACATTTTGTCGGTCTACAGTTCAACAATTTTGGGCCTTTCGGGGTGCAAATTTATTGGAAACGAGTATGCTCCACAAGATTATTTGTCATCCAAAGCATAATACAGAATTGCATCTGCAATAAGATCTAAAGGGTTCAGATCAGATATTAGTGAGGTTAAATGGTGTTAGACTAGAGAAATATGTCGCATCAAGGTAAGAAAGATTTTAAGTACGACTATGACTATCATTCACACAGGATTGGCAGTTAATCAGTCAAAAAAACCTAGACACTGAACCAATTAACTTTCAGATCTGCATAGTCATGTTTCCATCTAAAGACAAATGGATCCATCCACACAGATATATCCTAATTCAAACATTTTAAAAATAGATAGAAGTAAGGAAGAGGGACGTGATGGTAAGCAGAAGCCACTATCTGGGGATAAAATGGTCAACAATATTAGGTCAATTGGGTTACACACCAATGCACCCGGGCTTTGAAGCACTATTCTATTGTACTTTCGTCAAAAACCCAGATTCAAGACAACGATCCTGGCACTTATATTTATCTGAATTGCTTACCTTTCAAAAGACGATGTAAATGAGTTTTATATGATAACACGAATTAAGGAAAACCATCTATATAAAAGATTACAACACAATTTATAATTCCAAACAACTTCTACATCGTAGTCATACATGACCAACAGTCAACACGAACCTTGCGTGACTTCTTCTGGGTCAATTTGAGCAAGGGCAATTCTAAGGTAGTGTAAACCCGCAAGCCCAATCATTCTTCTCTCATTACAAATGTCAGCCACGTTATAACAGCATGCTTGCAGTTCTCCCATTTGTAGGCAAGAGTGTTACGTTTGAAACTAATCCAATTCATTTCAAAACCTATGGAATTCAAAAGCCAAAAAGAAACAGAAAAAACACTGGCATATTGCCGTAGTACCAGCTTTTCGTCAAATGAAAGCAATATATCTTCCATCAACCCATTTTACGCTGGTCGACAATGACCACATTGTTACTATAAATAATAGCACATTTACTGAGTAATCATTAAATGTCAAAAGACATTGTTTCCATCATTCCTACAATGTTATACCCCACAAAAATTAACAATTCGTCTTTTTGGAGCAGAAGTTCTGGCTTGCAAAATTTGTTACTTTATCCACAATGAACACGAACCAACTCCGCGTCCCAAAGCCACCAAACATTGGTCATATGTGGCACATCATAATGGGTGCCCAATTCATGATGGTTATTTATTAGTCTTTGACTTGTCATACTCGAAGACCAATATAATAAGGAAAATATTAACACTTCAAACAATATGGATCCCATGTCAATAATAGTCTTACAAGAGTTCATTCCAATAATTTACTGTCCTCAGAACTCTCCCAGGGAGGAGGTACTCATTGTCTCTTTATTCAGAAACTGAAACCAAGTTCCAATAAGCCCCAGATGATGCTACAGGGCATGGCATTGAAAAGAAAGCTGGTATGTAAAATTTTAAACCTCAGAACAAGAACCTCCAATAAAAAGAGAAAAGAAAAGCCCGACGCCATCAATAACCACGGACATGCCATGATTCATGAACCCTAAGTGAATCAGCTAAAGTGGGAATAGAAGTATGACCATTCAAGAAATCTGTCTCTGTAATGTGCCGATAGCACAGTAGTTCCAAGAAGAGCCTTCCAACCTGACTCCTATTAATGGGTTTCACTCTCCATCAGTCTTCAATATCCTTGACTGTCTATGGATAACTTTTTCCCACTTAATATGAGCAGAAAAGTGACTTAATTCATGATAAATGTTCAAAAGATCTTTGCTTCAATATACTATAAAGGAAGATGAGAATATGTAATGAAAGTGTTGCTCAGACTACAATAGCATTCTGTGATTATTGCACGGCGATAAATCGGTGACAGCTGATTGTATGACATGTTTAGCGATGTAGATAATTTTAAAGAGTAGATAAGTTTATCTGAACCTTAAACTTTGGATAAGGAAAGTTAGAACAGATTGAACAAGCAATAAGGACATTGAACCCAACTAAGAACTGGTCAAGGTCAACACTCAAAGGATGCACATGACTGGACTGGGTGAATAATGTAATTAGAATATCATTTGCCCATTTTTGTAGGTCATGCAGTCCAAGTTTATCTTTGACTATTTTGGCTGTTTCTAGAAGTACTTAAGGTCATTAAGACTTCAAGGTACCGGACTATCTTTAATCGTGTCAAGATTTCTAGTTCAGATCTAGGAGCGCCGCTTCAAAGCTATCATATTGCTCCCATAAATAGCAGGCTGAATAAAAATTCGCTCCTAGCTCTTCTTCCAAGAGGTTCACGAAGGTTCTCGTGTGAAATTCAGGACCAAAACGTCAAGCTGAGGCTGTGGGTTCTCCACATCTTCTAGGAGGAGAATAATTCGTAGGCTATATTAGCTCCAAGATCGTCAGCTACGAGTGTCTCGGTCCACAAAATCCTTGCAATCTTATTCTGGACATCTCAGCTAATTTTCTCTCAAGCATCTTTGATTGGTGGTCGAATTTGCCTGTCCCTATCAGTCCACCATTAACACATGATAAACTACCATCCTAGTCAGGGGAAATTTCCATACTTCCTATGATCTTTGAAAACAAGGCACCTTGCTAGTACCCCGACTATGGAGATAACCCAACACTGACTACTCGAAGAGGATATTCATTTCGTTAGTCAACATTCATTTAAATTGGCATTTGATGATTTCTCTTAAAAACAGTCACATCCATTCTGCGTCCATCATCAACAGGTAACTTGACAAATAAGGGAATGCGAATTTAATCCTTCTTGAACAACTAATTTGATTTCTTCGAAATCTCCACACTGTGCCATTTAAAAAATCAAGTGTGTGAGGATTTTTCAAAATATTGACCATGGTCCATATTTACATTAGAAAAGCAGTTCTATTAATAAAAGAATGATGAAAAGAAAAACACACGGAGAAGGCAGACAGAAATACTATTGCTATATGATAATACCGCACACATTATGTTCACTTAGATGAGGCCAAAGAACATAGCGAGTCCCCAATTTCATCCTAGAATTTACCCGAAATTAATGTCCACTAACTACCAAACAGGTTATAGTGCACTCATAATTGATTGAGGTCGGCCAGAGAGCGACTTTAATGAAATATTCATTATAACTCAAACGATACAGGAAAAAACGAAGAAAATTATTAATGTAAAACAAACTTGAAATGTTCCAAAAAATGCATGGTAGGGTAGAAAGCTAGAAATAATATATTTAATGTTCAAGTCAAATTTCTAATTTCCAGGAAGCCTCAATCCCCAACATTATTCATGTTCGTGTCCTTCAATCCCAGACAAATCAAAACATTCATGATACGATTATGTCTACATCACTCAGAGAACAGTATAGAGACCAAACAAAATGATCTAGGAAAGATTCAAGGGGAGAAAGTCCTGCCAATGGGAATCCAGATCTGGTCAGATATGTCAATCCGAGATCAAAGTTTGATCTTGGTTCTAAATTATAAACAAATGTTTTCTGACAATGTCTAGCATGTAAAATATGAAACTGCTTTTATATCATACTAATTGTAAGATATTGGATCACAATAAGTTTTCTTCCAGATATTACATCACTTTTGTTGTGGTGTTTATTGCTGATGCACTCATGTTCCCTATTCTCCTTCCATCGGTCGGAGACTGCCACCTTCTTTTCCTTATTTTCTTTCATGTTTGGTACTCCCTATGGTTGAGGATAAAGACAATAAAAGATCAAGTCTAGCCTAGAATCAACTGATCCAGAAAATACTTACTCTTTGAACAATTCGTGTCTATCTTCAAAAAGAACAGCCAGGTTTCCACTTTGAAATCGGATTAATCCCACATCAAACCAAACGACCTTCCTCAGATAGGAATAATTATTTTGGGGTACTGTGCTAAAAGATCGATTTCTGAATATGCAAGTATCAGCTCAATGTACATCAGTTATAGCAATTCCTCATATTAGCAAACTGTCATCATGTAGCATATTATCCTTTTTTAACGGAATAAACAGGGTAATAGACAGATGGAACAAACCTATGTTTGACATTGATGTTGCATGATAATTCCTGCTGTAGATCCTCAACCATGAGAATTGTTCCACTAGTAATTGGAGCTGGAAGTTGAGCAAAAACCTGAAGAGATAAGAAAACAACACAAGTCATTAGACAGATGATAATTGTAAGAAGAATAAGAGCTGCTTACAGAAAAAAAGAGAGCTCAGGAACCTTCTCAACATTCAGAGCATAGCTCCCCGCAACATCATCTTCAAGATCATCACCTTCCTCATAGATAAGTGTTGAACCTTGCATTACCATTGGGCAGTTCATACCGAGTTTCCTTTTAACAATTTTCTCAATGAAGTCCTTCAACTTTGTCTTGTGAATATTAACTTCCAGTAACAGTGCTGTCTATTATATCAAGTCAAATCAAATGAGAAAATGGCATATGGTGCTTAGTTCAACATTCAAGCCAACTAAATTCCAAAGATGACCATACCTCAGAACAAACATAGCAAGATTTACTTCGTTCAAATGGTTCCACAGGCATCAAAAGCATCTTTCTTAATGGATGTTCAACGCAATATGTCATCCTGAAGAATCAAGGGAAACTTTGGTTTTAGTATATTTTCTGCAAAATACGATGTCATTTAATGTGAGTTTAAAAGAAAAAGGAGCTTAAGTTTTAGAAAAGATAAAGATTCATTAAAACACCCAACTAGCCGTCATATAACATGCATATGCATCGTCATTGCAGTACTGACAAGTTATGCTCCAACTACTGATACTCCACAGTCAGGTGTAATGTATCAAATTCGTCCCTAATATTCTGTGATTTTAAAAGGAAAAGGAGCTTGAGTTTTAGAAAGGGTAAAGATTAATTAAAAGACCCAACTAGCCGTCATATAAACATGCAGATGCATCCCCACTGTAGTAACTGAAAAATGACGCTCTGAAAACTGATACTCCAAAGTCAGGTGCAATATGTCAAATTCGTCCCTAATATTCTGTTGGCAGTTTCTGAGATAAAATTGGCCTGTGCGTTAAAATACTGTTCTCCTTTTCTCATCTGCATTTATCATATGAACAATATAGCTAAGCAAAGATAAATCAAGTTTTGAAGCGTTTAAAAAAGTCAAGCTAGATCCGGATTGTCAAGCTATGGTTAAAAAGGAGTCCTTGTTTTTAAGCAAGGATGCGGCAATTTAATGTAATAAAATAACATTTTATGAATCCTTGGGATTTTGAATGAAATAAAGATATAATAGAGGGTGACTTGGCTAAACCCATTAATTATGTAAGGATTTGACTAGTCTTACAAAAAATGTCGAGAAACAAAGTGTGCACACAGGATAACGTGCATATGAAAGCTCCATCATCCAATTAAACCCACATTATATAATTCTTTACATTATGTTTATCAGAAAACTACATTTCGCTTACATTCGAATGAATATTATGGAGTCAAACTTGATGTAACTCCGTGATTTTTCCTTTAAACCCAAATCCATCCAATGAATCACAGAGTCAAATAAAGTCAGATTCCCCATAACTTTCAGTCAAGTTTTAGTGAAATGTTTTTTTCCAAGAAACGTAACAAATAAAAAGAATTTGACAAAAACGAAATGTTAAGATAGCAGATTTCAGTGCCGTGGCATCCAAAAGTAAGGAATCGAAAAGCAGCATGCAAGGACAATGTAAAAAGAATCTCAAGCTACGTAGTTGTTCCACATAAAATGAAGGGCTGCTTAGAACGCCTAGAATATTTTATTGCACATGAATCAAAGAAAGTTTCAAATAAAATTAGAACAGCATATTGGACATAAAAAAGCACTACATCATTCATATGGGAGTTACTAGTAACCTGTAGTTGCGTGCATCATTCTGAAGCACTTTAATTGCTTCAATCACAATTAAGCCAGCAATAATTGCATTAGTTGTTGCAACAGCGTGAACAATGTTTCCAGCTATTCCCTTAGCTTCAAATAGACTGTGAGGAGGAATGCCAAATGATGAAGCTCTGATATTTGCAGCAGCAGTAACAAATTCAACAGCCAACTGGTCATCCTTGTCAAAAACCAAGTTCCCAATATCCTGAAATACAGAGGTTTAGTTCTAATGCACATCCAACAATAGCAGCTCTACATATAGAAAGAAAACGGATGAAACGTGGATGTACCTTTTCCCTTTTCTCCATAAATAGTTTTAAGGACTCCAGGAAGACTCTCGTGTTGTCAACTAGGCTCCAAATTTCCTGAGAGTTCTTCAGTCCGAGAGAAGTCATGGCAGATACCACTGAGCTATCCGTCCTGAAGTCATTGAAGACTCCATTTTGCTGGCTAGAACTGTTTAACAAGACATCTCTACTGTAGATCGGTTTTGGCATATTTCGGTTTTTCCATGTCTCTTTATTAGCCAAGGCAGACTCAATGTTATACCCAAAAACATGATCATAGATTTTCCTGCCATACTGCTCAGGGTCCTCATCTAATCTTCGCTCAAATATGTCTTCAATGGGATCTGTTGAACTATCACTGTGACTAGAGCGGGCGTTTAGATCGTTGTCCTGATTCTTGTCTCCAAATAACTTTGCAAAAAGCAGCTCCTTTGCCCACACAATACAGTGCACAAACTGTAAAACGTAGTAAATTAAACATTGACAATGTTACATCATGAAGATACACGACTTGTCTTAGGTAAAATGCAAACCGAAATGGTACCATCTACTGAAAGAGCCAGGGTAAAGGCAATAATCGATACAGACGTTGGAGACAGAAAGTCTACTCCCAAATTTGCCAAGAATAATATAACAGTGAGACGCAATCTCTCGCTAAAATTTTAAGTGATACAACCTTCTCTAAAAGCCTTATCATGAATCTATAATTGATGGATCTTCTGATATTTATTGGGTCAAGGCCAATTCAACAGAATTCACCAATTATATTTTTTTTCTTTCATCAGCTCAGAGCCATGTCCAGGAGGTTCCAGTGTAAAACTGATAATGAAAGATACAGGATAACCATGAAATATGTGATAAAATATGGAAATATCTTAAATTTTTCCCATCTAAAGTTAATAGTGTAAATGAAATGTTGCATAAAAGCATCATTGTAATCCTCGTGTTGCATCTCATCGTCATCCTTGTAGCCAGTGTCCACAATTCTCGCTCTTCACTATACCTTGAAAACAGAACGCTTAAAGAGAATTTTGAGAGAGCACCATTTTATACACTTTGATGATTCTGATCCTTTCAAAGTGATTACCGTTCCTCACCTAATGAAGATGCACTTTATGTGACATCAAAATCAATCCTTCTCAAGTACCTAGCATCATGAGCAACATCATCTTGACGAGTCTCAGCACAATAAATTTGCCACAACTCAGTTGAAGAAAGAAAAATGTAAAAGATATAGAAATTATTAATAGATAATGACTCTATACATCCTTCCACTCTCCTTTTCTTCATTTTGAATGAAGTTTCAAAATGTTCAACCAGTCTTTCCTTTTCTTTCATTTAAATTCCTTCCTCTTGACTTGCTCCTAATGTAGTTGAACCTCATTTCTGTAACTTTCTCTGACCTTTGAACGTACATAATAAACTTGACGTTAATAATAAACATAGACCAATCGTTCTTCTTCTTCTTCAATGTCAGCTATCTACTTATTTTTACTCTTAGTTATGATAGTATATAAGTCCATCGTAATTGCTGAATTTATCTTAGAAAAAACATTAGCTTCAGGAAAAATAACTAAAAAGAATAATATACTTTGATAAAGCAATGTACTTACATTGGTCCTTGATTCTTTTAAATTCTGTTACGTTCGTTGAAACATGAGAATAATATATCGAAAATTCGTGCACTTTCTCTTTCCAACTGGTTCATAAATTTCTCTTTCTATCAGAATGTCTAGTATGCAATATTTGAAGGAATGGCAAAAGGTCTGCTTAAAATCAAGATGTAAACAGACCGTTTGCGATGCATTCCCCTGTTTCTATTGGAGTTCCAAGCCCCACATAGTATTTCCATCACATGAAATGGATGGCAACATGGTCATAAAAATTGTTCGTACATGTTCCCTTGCGTGAAAGAAATCATGTAAAATTGGACTATCCATAAAACAGAATAATGATGCCATGTGATCGCATATAATGGCTTACAGTCAGATGACTGTCATCCATTAAATGCTGGCACATAGTAGCAGGGCATTTTTCATCATTAATTGCGATGTCACAACACAAGTGATACTGAAATAATACGTACACATACAGATTAGTTGGACATCACACTTACGAGTGGAACAACAAATATACTCTGATGATCAGAGACTTATTTTGCCGAAAATAAGTCAGTTATTGTGACGAATCCAGCAATCACCGGAAGAGAAGTGTACTTTAATGAATGCATTTATCAATCAATGATTGCAGAAATACCAGTTTAATTTCATTTCTCAGTACATGGCACAAGTTGGGAAATTTTAGCACAATGCAGATTCCAGATGGAGAGTAGTGTAATTATCCACCTCTATTCGTCCAAACTCAAGACATCTATGCTTAAATAAACAAAATCATTCAATTTTGCAAAATAAACAAAGATATGGACATATTCGCCGAATCAAAATCGAATCTGCGGTACCTTTGAAGGAGTACTAGTGATGGTGCAGACAGGGTATGTTTTGGGTGCTGGCTTTGGTTGGCATTCATAGCACTCTGTTTTTCCTTTGACATGAACAGTTACCTGCCCCAAGGATAAAAAACTTTCATCAAACCACTAAATCACAAAGCATGAATAGGAAATCAGACAAGAAATGGTAGCAGAATAAAAATACATGCAGCAATGATGAGATATATGAAAAACATAAGCTCTTGTGCATTTTTGTAAGCCCTCAGGTCCCTTGAAACTAGTCAATAATGTTATTCAATGGTTCCAAACAACTGTCGAAAAAGGGGCAAGATAGATGAAATAACTCATAACTACCTGTCCACTGAATTACATTTTTTTCAAGATAACCAAAATACAACCTCGGTGTCTTACTGAACTCTTAATGTCTGGCATCGCGTTGGAACATCATACATACCCCATTCAATTATTATTTATTACCTTGAATCCTTAAATGCTATTGATTATGAATTCTTAATTTTTTACACGAAGATTTTCAGAGGAGAGGTGAAGTGGCATGGAAAGAGGACGATAGACACCAAAAAAGGGAGAAGAGAGAGAGAGAGAGACATAGAGGGAGAGTATCTCAGCTTTTGACAAAGGCATACCAATGGTACAATAGAACTGAGGGCGTGAACATGTATGCATGTTTTCAGAGAATGCACTACTAAAGGTCTGAGGGAATATTTGTGGTCGCATGATTTGTAGCAAATCGAACTGAATGCTGAACTGGCTCTGATGAGCTGTACTAATTAATATTCAGTCATTGGTCATATCCAATTCTTTCAATAATTAACTAAAATAATTAATAAGTAATAATTTTAATTAATATTTATAGTATTGATTAATTAAGCGAAGTCTTGTTGAAACTTCAATATCGTGTAATATTTAAGCATTCTATTCGTTTAAAATATTTCTACACATAATTTTTATTTAATTTTAAAATCTTGAAAAAAAACTTCATACAAGCACCTTGTCATGTATATAAAATGATGTGCTATTATCCATAGTCACCTTAAAAAACCTTCCAATAAACAATACACAAGATTGGAACGCATCCTAACAAATTGAGTTCAGAATTCGAAGTTGAGTGAAAGACAAACACAACCAGAGAACCCACAGTACATAACACAATGGTGCGAAAAAGAATTTCATGAAAGATAAACGAAAAATTACGGTGATCTACAGAATCTGCCAGCATTACCTGGACAGATATAGATCATTCTTTATCAGAAGACATGATGGAAGAAACAAAAAGCTTAAATAAAGCATTTCAGGGGCATGTAAGAAAAAAGGGAAGAAAACAGCTGAAAATACCAACAAGGGGTCAACAAAATACAGTTTATCTTCTGAAAGAGAAATCTTGCGTAAAAAAAAAGGCAAGGCATCTTTAATCACTGTAACTTTTTCGAATAAGCAAATGACCGTCACTGTTGTCGAAAAATGGATGTAATACTATCAAAGAAAGAAGAAATTCCATTGTTTGCATCTGGATCACATTTTAACACAAACTTCTGGAAGTCGCAGCTTAAAAGATAAGCCAGAAGTATAAAGTTCAACCAACCCCTCATTTATTGCAACAAAATTGAATAATCATAAGAGAGACTGGCAGAATAGCCCCTAAATTTTCATGCGTATTCAAATAAAATAGAAGTTTCATGTCTTATAAACCAAGATATTAAACACATTTTCTGGTAAGGATCCTTCAATAAGCTATGTAACAGGTATGACAAAAAAGACAAGTCTTACCTGCCCTAGAAAGCCCGTGGTTCCACTTTCTACAAGAGGGACTTCGGCAGCCAAGCAGAGCCGGTTAACGTGTCTTCTGGCATCTAAGTTATCTAGGCCATTCAACACAACATTGAACTGTTTAAAGAAATCTACATTGAATTCCGGACTTTTGACATTAGCATGGTGAGGTGTAATAGATATGTGAGGCCTAAACTTCAAAACTGCATCTCGGGCAACCTGTTGCACAAAAGGAAGGATAAGATGATTCCAGGTGCAGCTAGTCAATTTGAAGCACTACAAAAAGTATGCAACGATAACCTGAAGCTAATATATGACAGGATATACTTTGGCTTTAGATTGTCCCACATGATGCTGGCGGAACAGAAACTGTCTATTGAGATTGCTCACTTCAATTGTGTCCATATCAACCTACATAAAAAGAAAAAATGATTATTTCCAATGTTCGGATAGAGTTGCCGGTATAAATTACAACAGGAGCACGAATGTTTGCATCCTGCTGCCACTATTCCTATTTCACATGGGAGTATTCAATTGAACAGTCGTCATAGACGTCATTTTACGAACAAAATAAGCATATATATAGCTACGAAAGTTTTATTCTAATCCCTTAAATCAGGAGATAGTCAGCTTCAGGCAATTTCCTCATTTAGTTTGATATTTCCTAGCCCCTTTTCTCGTACAATTAGCTACATACTAACTTGGCTCAATTAGTATGATATATGAGAAAAACATCTATAATTCTCTCCCTTTCGTGACGGTATCAGAGTCCTAGCCTCTTTTCTGGGTTTCCCTGTGCCTCCATTACAGTCTTTAGTCGTTTTTTGCACCCTTTATTGCTGTGTTGTTTCTTCCATTCCTATTTGACCGTCTCCAGATTTATTTCTTTTCCCTACTCAGGATTATTTTGTGATCCCCGTATCAACATCTGAGACAACGACTGCAAGCACTCCAGTACAACTGGAAGAAGCCAACATGAATCCAATGACTGGAGACCTGCAAAAGTCCGGGCAACATACGGACTTAATGAGAAAAACCATCTTAAATGGTCTCAGTTTGTGAGAACGTACCAGAAAGGCAAAAAGGAGACAGCTATCTCCTCCGAATAGGAACAAAAAAGTAGATAGATGCGTGATATGAAGCAAATTCCATGATTATGTCATGACAGTGGGATTCAATGGAACCTACAATTAGTGACACCTGTACATTTTTGGCAATTTCAAAGGAGATTTGGGACTGCATTCACCAAACGATTCAAAACCTCATGATGCAACCAAAGTATAAGAGATAAAGATGAAAGGTAATGCAGCCAAATCTGTGATTGTGAATAACTACGAGTATGCCAATTTACTGAAAATATCAGCAGCAGGAACTTGATCACAGTCAGGTATTTAGGATGAAATGCTTAGATGACGTCACATCATATAAGAATTTCATTGAAAAAGGTAGGGTTTATATTAGTTGGCTGGACTCATTCCTAAATTTACTTAGGTTAGAATTCAGACACGCGGTAAGAAGAAGACACCCTATTTGGAGGAAAGGATTTCTCTACTTCAGACAGAAAGCTGCAGGGATGTGATGCTCGAGCCTCAACCCTCAGAAGGATCACCCTTAGAAAGGGGGAAAGTAGACATATCAGGGGTCTCAGAAGAGAGAACAAAGACAACCTATGGAGAGACAATCAGGACAATTGGTAGTGCACCCATTGAAAAAAACTGAGACATTCTACGGAATGTCACCAGAAAAAGGATAGAAAACCTCTAGAAAACGGATAAACTGAGGATGATAGCGGCCTCAAGCTCATCTGACAGAATAAAATTGATCTAACTGAAGGATAAGAGATCGGAGGATGAAATAATGAAGAGAATAAGGAGCTTCAGGGCCTGATAGGATCTCTTGGGAAGCTTCTGGTGCATGTTCACTGGCTGTCTCAGGTAAGTCTTTATTTTCTTTTATATTACACGTCTCAGAAAAGTGTTTTGCCAACTCTGAGTTATTTGACTCAAGGACCACTAATCACATGACTTACACCTCACAATATTTCACTATTTATACTCCATATCCAAGTGAAGGAAGATTATCGTTGCAAATGGCTCTGTTACTATAGTTGCCAGATTAGGAGATATTCATGGGACTCCTTTCATCATCCTTAAAAGTGTCCTTCAAACCTTTTGCATTCAAAAGCTTATAAATGACATAAATGTCAGGTAATTTTTCATCACTTATTGTGTTTTCTGGAATATAGTTTGAGGAACATTGGACTTTTAATGAAGGAATGGACTACCTTGAAACACCAAGAAACTCAAAGAAATCGTGAAGAATTTATCTTTGTAGCTTCTCGGTTCTTCCAACAAAGATGACATTTGGTTCCACAATCTTTTTCTTGGTCGTCAAGCTCATATGGTTTTAAATATTATGTTTCTCTATTTTTTTAAGGAATTCGATATCAAAAAATTTCAGCATAACATTTGTGAGCTTCGAAAGCCCACTATTCTTTGCCACACGTAATAAAAGTTCTCATCCTTCTTATTTGATTTACAGTGACATTTGGGGACTGTCCACTATTAAGCATAGTTTCGGGATATTGACAGTTTGTTTCCCTACTTGATGGCTACACTATGGTTACATTGATATTCTTGATCAAGTAAAAATCTGATGCGAGTAGCATTGTGGCTAGTTTTCACCCTATGGTTCCAAATCTAGTCCGAATAAAAATTTAAAACCTTACATCAGAGAATACATGGGATTACTTCAACCAAACTCTGTCAGACTATTTCCCAAAAGAAGGCATAATTCATGAATCTTATTTTGTAAATACACTACAAAATGGGTATGCATAGAAAAAATGATCATTTACTTAGCACCATTCAGGTATTGTTATTTGAAGGGAATGTTCCTGAATCTTATTGGGAGGCTGCTGTTCTAACGCAACATACATGATTAATTGGCTACACATGTGTACTAGATTTTAAAGGCCACATTTCAAAACTTAAATGGTCTTATACCAAGAGTCTTTGGCAGTACTTTGTCTACATTCATTCATACCAGAGGAAAGTTAGATCAAGAATTAAAGTGCGTTTCTTGGTTACTCATCTACACAAAAAGGCTGTAAATGTTACCATCCTCCTTTAAGAATATTCTACATAGCTGTATATGTAATTTTTGCTAAAAAAAAACCATACTTCAGTCAATCTTATCTTCACAGGGAGATTTCACCTCCAATGTTAGATATTCAGGTCTCTTGATCTACCTACAACAGTTCCATCTACCTCAGTCCCACCCGCTACAATCGTGTTCAATAAGCCCTTGTCTACTCCAACCCCTATGTCTAGTCTGGTGTCTCTACCTGTATGCATTTAAGACTATTTCGTTTTTTCTCAGGCGTATTCAAACTCAGATTTTCCAGACTGAATAGAAGTTCAAGATATGACATCTCTCCTTGGTAAGTTATGGCTTTCCTTTTTATGCACAATCGGCTGAAACATCCTCTGCTCAACCATCCATAAATGATTATGATTGCCACATTGCTATGAGAAAAGGCACAAGAGAATTCACAAAATGGCCCTTGTATCTCCCCATGTGTCACTTCGACATTTTCAACATCTCTTAGGAACCTTATTCTGACTCTTAACCCTATTTCTGTCACAAATGGATAATGAAGAGATGCTATGAGATAGAAAATAGACACTTATGAGAAAAATGAGAGATTTTCGACCAACCAAAGAAAAAGAATCTGGTAGGCTGCAGATCGGTTTTCACCATGAAATATAAGGACAGTGACTCTCTCAAATGATACAACAAGATTAGTTATTAATGGCTATACCCAGACCTATGGAATTGATTTTCATGAGACATTTGCCCGAGTGACAAAAATGAGTACTATAAGACTTTGACTATCACTAGCAGCTCATTTTAGTAGGCAAATTCGACAGTATGACGTGAAGAATGCATTCTTACATGGTGATCTAGAAGAAGTTTACAAGAGCATTCCACCAAGATTTGGACAAGATTCGTGGTTCAACTTAACACCCAAGGGCCCTAAATGTCATTTGAGGATAGTATCTTTCATCCATCCCCAACAATCAGAAAAATAACACATCACATCCCCCAATACAGAACCTTCTATTGTAAAGCTTAGAGAAAGAAGGTCATCAACAAGACCTTCAGTCTCCATTTTACTTGCAACAGTCACACAATCAATGACTACCACTCCTAATCACGGCATGTTTGGGCCAACATGGAATTCACAAATGGTTACAGCCACTTTCAGGCGTGTGCACATTTGGTCCAGTCACACAAACGTTACTTTTCAGGCATGGCATTTACAAATTCACAAACAGCACTCACAAGTGTGCAGTTGTGTGAAGTTGCCTTCAGGTGAAGATGACAGCAATTGCAGCAAGCTCCCCTAGGCAACGCTTTGAAAGAATGTACTGATCGACTTGATTTTGTCTCCATTATCAGGATAGATCTGGCACTTTGCATCATCACAAACCAAATTTCAAAACCATTAACTTTCAGTTGTCCTAGAAATGGCTTCAATGTATTGGACAGATTACCGTTATTCCACTTGAACTAAAGATAAAGACAACTTTTCATCTACTACCTCAAGCCCACAGCGTTGTGTTTCTAATAAGTCCACTTTCCCACAAAAATCCTCTGGTACAGTTGTACTTCCTCCATGAGTCTAAATGAGTTCATTGCTTGAGCTTACAGCATCTTTGCGACATATCATCCCATAAGTTCCTTGTACCCTGTAAAACTGACCACAGAGCTAGGCTCTTGTATTATTGATAGAAAGTAGACAGGTTACAGAAACAGCTATCAGCAAAGGAGTCCAACAAAATACGCACCAAGTAAACGCTACCTGCCGATAGTCAACGACCGAAAAAAGATATTCTGCCGACGTAAAACTAACATTAAAGTTAAATAAAAACCTTCAGAAAAAACCCCGTATCCACACTTAAGACATGAACAGAGAATTTCAAGAACACTCTCCAAGACCAATCGAGAGATAAATCAAAGGGCAACTAACCCACGGGCCCAAAGCAAAATACAGGGCCACGCGCGGAGCAAGAGCGACGAGATATTATTACGATGTGGATGTCCTCGAAGCCCGACAGCGCCAAAGTCTTGAGTAGCTCGCAGCCGATGCCGCCGGCTCCCACCATAAGCACTCGCGCGCCCTGAATGAGAAATCATCAGCATCATCCACCCCCAATCAGAACGAAAACCAACCTCATAACAAGTTTCTGACACATAAGAGTAGCGTTAAAGGACGAGATCCAAGAATCACCTTAACTACAGGCAACTGCTGCTCTGAAGCCATGAGAGTAATCTGCAGCAAGGGGAGGGAGAGACGGAGAAAAATTGCAACCAGCAGGAAGGGCCGCGGATCAGTGTGCGACACTTTGCGGAGTCAAAGTCGCACCAGAGGAGAAACAGCGAGACCTAGATGAGGCAGGGCAACTCCCCCCGTCCAGCCCAAATAGCCTGGGAAAAAAATATTATTCGTCTTACGTCATCACGAGAAGAAAACTTCCGATCAGCCCTTTCTTTGCCACTTAATAACGAATATACACACGACTTCTGCTAATGCCACCTTAACAAAAGACGACTGCGCCTTCTCTCCCTTTGCCGACTCCGCTTCCTCCTATTTCCTACACTTCCTTTCCCTCTTCCTTTTTTGATGAAGCTGCTAATGCCCATGATGATAACGTTGATTATTATTATTATTATTATTGTAATTATTATTATTATTGTAATTATTATTATTATTATTGTAATTATTATTATTATTATTGTAATTATTATTATTATTATTGTTATATTTTTCTTCAAATTCTTTTCTTCTCCTCTTTCCACTTGTCATTCTTCTGACACGTGTTCTTAATCTCATCATCACTTTTGCTGAATTTACTCTTACTGCCTCCATCACAAAGGTAAAACATGTCCCAAGGCATGTGTATTCCATATTTGGAAACAAGTCTATCTACCCATTTGAAAATGATGATATTTAGAATTGATTATGGGATTATGAGATGTAAGCTATGAGAAGTTTTGAATATCCTACCATTGCTTCCCATATTCATGCCTATCAGCTACCATGGATTTCAATAATTCTTCACCATATACTTTCATATAGACTGAAATAGACTGAAAGCTTTAACAAGGTAACAAAAAAACCACTTTTTCTTATTCATTACATTACGAATTAGGAAGCAAGTCAATCTATGACCATTATAATGAACCAGATGAAAAGACACAGTAAGTTGACTTCCGCACTCTTGTTTGATCTTGCCGGAGAAACTCCAGCGATCTGAAAGAACTGTCACATTGAAGAACCACTCTTATTAGTAAGGGATAAATCAGGATAGGGTTAACAATCAATAGATAATTGAAAGGACACTCAGACCTACAACTTAAATTTGATCCAGACATTCATTTATCAACATCAGAACCTACTAGCAATATCAATGGATTTCTTAAAAAAGGCATGACACTTCTTCACCACATTAAAGATAAGCTGGTACCTGTTCTTGCAAGGCAAGGCATGACATGTGAAGAAGTCTTTTACATGCATCGACGTTTGAGCTTGACACAGTGTTGAGGCTTTGGAGCTAATTCAAGCAATGGAACTAGGGAGAGTAACCTTGGAGCAGCACATCAACATCAACCTCCATTGATGCTGACAGATAGGGTGACAAAGTGAGGATAAATATGGTGCCTAACTTCGTTATCCAATCCTACAAGCCATGCAAAGAGCCTACACAGATGGCACTACAACCCCGCATACACATGGAGTTGCTTCTCGGCAGAAACCTATCAGGAGCTCATGTAATGGACCTGAACCCAGTCATGTGTGGTGAGGGTGCGCACACACGACTGCAACAACAGCATATCCTTCCTCGACACTTTCCCCGCATGAGGGTGCACATTGATAACATATGAATAATGAGTTAGAAACATACCTTAATGTAGTAAATTTTAGTATCTTTGACGTTAACAATGTGTTGTTCACCTCGATTTTATGATTTTTAACGTGTCCTAAGTTTACATTAAAATTTTAGACATTTTAGAATTTTATGGGATTAATCTCATACATATTAGCGCCTTACCAAATACGAATATTATGGATATCGAGTATGCTTTCGTGATTTCACTAATTACCTTCTAGTCATTTTTAGTGATTTATGACTCAGGTTGTGGGTGTTTCATCAACAAATGGGATGCAACCATCTATCCATCGCTCGTGGCAGTGAAGCGGCAGCCTTGTGATGGGAGAGGGATCCGATAACTAAGAAAGAGAGCACCGGAGAAAGAAGATCCATCAAATCTAATGATGTGAAACCCTGCTGAAGGCGCGAAGTCACCAGAACCTTCTGGCGGTTTCTCTCGCACGAGCGAGAGGGGAGAGGGAGGAGAGCGACGCCCTATACCTTTGGGAAAAGATTATGTTACGAACAACTTTTATAATGGGAAACACCTTGATGTTTGCAGTGGTTTTCCGGAGCTCCGTATTGTAGGGATGCATATGCATATAAACGGAAGTTGACTCTCCTCTCGCCTCGACAGGATCACTCAAGCTTCTTCAAGTTAACGCCTCCTTCCGGCGGGAAATAGGGAGGAAGGAGCGGTGACATCAGGTTAGTATCGAGGTGAGTGAAATTCCGATTAATAGTAGGTTAGGATTCTATCCGAAATTAGAGTTAGCTCATGTTTAGGAGGTAGATGGTCACGATAACTTCGATTTTCTTTCTCTACATCCGCTGGTTCTGAGAAATCAGATCCAGTTCAAATCTCCGATTTTGATGAGATTTAAAGCAATGCCGCAGATGGCTGTTTGCCCGATTAGGAAAATACATTGAAGTTGGCCAGAGGCGAATGTGCAGAACATTAGATTCAAAAGAAGGAATACCGCCGTGGCTTGAGTCTTCGTGGCCATGGTACTGGAAAGGGAAGTCACGACGTATGGGGGATTGGTTCGAGGGTGAGAAAAGAGGACTAGAGAGGAATACTTGTGACATTACGGAGACACTTGGGACATTATATGGAGACTACTGAGGGGAGCAGTGCCGATCAGATCATTAAGTCACTAGCTATTGAAAGCCCGATAATAAGGGTGGTAGTTCGGGAATTAGCAGGCCTCCAATTAATAGGTTGACGAAACATAGCTTATGACTCGCAGTTTTAGAAGAAAACTCAACTCTCTGTACCGGTGGCAGGAATCTGTCACTCTATTCCCCGACTTTTCACTCCTCTACTCGCGAGTACGGCAGCGAAACATAATTTGCTAGACCTCCGCATTCCGCGGGGGAAAACTAGGAGGATGCCATCTACAATGCCAATCTGATGCACCTTTGCCTCACATAAGATGACCATGTCATCGTATGACCCGGATGCACCCTTTCTCCCTCACCTTCTCCACAAAGTATCTACCACCTGGGAAGCAACAGCCTAGGCATCGATTATTTTCATGACCAAGCCAGCTTGTGACAACCCCCTTCCCCATCGACATGAGGCACGAACACCAGTACTCCGAATGGTAGTATCACATAGTGGTGTCAAAGGTAGCCCTCCACAAAGTATTCATGCCCTCGCTTTGAGGTCACTGATCACAATACGATCACCTTCAAAGGAGAAACTTGGAGAGGTGGGCATTCGATCGGGTGCACATGACCTTTCCTCGGTTTGAATGAAGGTTGGCAAATCTTAAATCCACGTCAACCTCGGGACAGTTATGTTATAAGGAGAAGAATATTTCCGTCCTCAATACTCAAATTCTTCACGCCAACGCTCTACGAACGTCATTGTCATATGAATTGGAAAGCTCAAAGCTTCAGCCCCTGGCTCAGTTGGAAGGAACCTTCTGTCAATAATGTGGTGGTGTGGTACTCAAGTTGCATGGCTTGGATCGGATAAGGTCTTCTTTGTCAAATTTGATTACGCGACAGTAGACACCCACTCTTATTTGCAAATTGTCATACTCCTAACGCCAGAAACAGTTGGACGTCACTATGGCAGCGGTTGATAGCTCCCCATCGCTTTAAGAAGGTGGAACCGGCCAAGGTGAAGAGCTGGAGACGTGCAATAGAGGAGGACGAGGATCTCGCCAAGAACTCAACCGTCTGCCGTTCACGTCGTCACCGCAAACGCCCTGAAAGGGGCGAGTTCACCTTTTACTGAGTCCGTCTTCCTTTCATTTCGCCGTTTCTGTTGCCAACTGCCGCCACCTCCCATCCCGACCTCCGCCCTTCCTGTTCCGCCTCCCACTCGCTGCCGCCGTCGACCACCATCGCCATCCCTTCCGCCGCCCTACCTTCGCCTTCCCCTTCCATCGCCGCTAGCGGAAGAAGCGGGAGAAACGGGAGCCTGGGGGGGAGAGGAAGAGGATGGCTTCAACCACTGCTTCCACACGAGGGGAAGGGGGCTCTGAGGCCAGGGTTTTTCCCCAGCATTCCGCCGGAGAGAGACCTGCGCGGAAGTTTGTCGTGCACGGTCTGGATGGTCCACAACAGATGCTCGAGACGGCATTTTGGGGGGGCAGCAGTGCAACTGCCGAGAGTTTTGGAGTCGGCGGGATTACACCTCCTCCTCCGGAGACTCCATGAAATGAGGCGGCGTGCATGACGACAAACGCCCTTCGTCCTGCAGACGCACAAATGGCGGGGCCAGCGGGATCTTGGTGGCCGCCGGGGTCCTCTCCCCGATTCCTCCTTGGGTCCCTCGCCTCTGGAGCTCTTAGCCTTTGGTAGACGCCGGCTGGGGAGCATCCCTGTCGAAACGGGGGGAATACGAGCGAGTTTGCGGGCGGGTAGAAGCTGGCATTTGCTGACAGAAGATCTTTCTCTCAGAGGAGACCTCGGGAAGGATACCCAAAGCTGTATATAATGGTTAGAGCTCCATTGGTGTACAACTAAAGAAGATATCGGTCTCCATTTCCACTTACTCTTTGCTTATTTGAATCATTCCAATGGTAAGTTATTCTTCAAAATTTTCCTTTTTCCTACCATATAAGTTGATGTTCTTGGTAACTGACCCCATAGTTTTGCCGCAAAACTGAAGTCCAGATAACGTGCCTAACGAACAACCAAACTTACGTTCTCAGAGCAGCTAGATATCATTCGTATCCTTCTTCATACACTGGAACCCGATACCTATTTTGTGATTCGTTTCCCTGCCTGTTCTTGGTATTCTCTCAAGAAACTGAGCAGATCAAGATTGTCCACCCTGACAATGAAGAATCCACGTGATTAGGTGATGCGTTTCTCGGACAGGTGTTATGACGTACGACATTCATCTAAGGAAATCAGTAGCCTCTCCGTTTTT